TAATCGCACGGATTTCGAGGTTAGTGTAACATCAAAAATATTAATAAACTAATTAGTTATTATGGCTGCGATCAAGCTGTCGTCTCAAATGTTTTGAAGTATTCTTCTTCTCCTTTCTTTCAGAAAAGATAGAAGGAGAAGAGAAATACTTCGAAGCATTTATAGCAGCGGTTTCACCGCAACCTATATCATGTGTTTGCTTGTGTTTACAACTGCGTATATCTAATTTGAGGATAATTTGAGGACATGATTTTAATTTTCAGTCAACTGAATTGACTATATTATATACCTGCAGTATATGCGAAACAATTTGTAGCTCTGATGAGATTAAAAATCATCCCTGCTTGAGAGGATTTACGAGACACTTCGTAGATCAAAATTATTATTTCCATCCGCAGTGCGGTAAGTATAGTGGTGAAATTACTGCAGATGCTAAATGTTAGATTATGTGTTTATATCGTCATATTTTTACAGATGATGGATCGATTATTAGAAAAAGTCTTGTTGGAGGACAAGAGGTTCTCGTCGAAGAACAAGCCGAGCAGGAAGAAGCCGAGCAGGAAGAAGCCGATCAGCTAATGGTGGTGGATACAAACATCGAGGGTGACTGTTCGAACAGCAATGATTGTCCGATGAACCTATTAGAGAGGAAAACACGCAATGAGGAAATTCTTATAGAGGAAGTACGGAAACGACCACCTCTTTGGAACTTTAAATTGCACATTTCCGAAAGGGGCGCCCGTACTAAGGAGAAGCTGTGGGAAGAGATTGCTGTTAACATGAAAGGTATAACATTTTTTAATTGAGGTATGAGAGCCATGTCTGTTACAAATGTATTTATCGCGTTTTTGTCCTTAGGAGAAATGACTGTAGGTCAGATAAAAAAGAAGTGGAAGTCATTGTCTGATATGTTCAGGAGACAACGCAAAATTCACAATCAGCCTAGTGGTTCTATGGCTATCAAAAAAGTTAAATGGCTTCACTACGAAAGGCTTAGTTTTCTACACGACATGCAACTTGAAAACGTGTATGTGTAAATGCACTCTCATACGTTTTATATAAATGTAGTTTGTACAGTGGTTAAAATGTTATTAGTTTAACCTCTTTCTCTTTTAGGAGGATATCGAACATTGGCGATCTCTCCAACAGTTCGGACGTTTCGCAAAGTAGCAAAGATGCATATGTCGATGACCGCAGTAGCAGTACGTCGCGAAATAGTAGACGTAGAACACGTAAGAATATTTCAATTATAATTGTATTAATTACTGTTT